GCATGAAGTGGTTAAGAACCACACCTTGTCCAAAAGAGATTGATTCTATGGTGTACCCGCAAACCCATTTCTCATGTCATCAAAAGCGCTCCACCACCGCAGTGATGAGCCACACAGCACCGCTGCATGCTAATCTGGCCCCTATTGAAAAGAGGTCAGCAGTGCACTGAGCCAGGCTCGTGAACAAGAGAAAGTTGCATAACACTGCACAATCTGGGCTCTGTTTACAAGGCTGCAGGCCTGGCTAAAATACTCGAGGGTCAATGAAGGTCACCTGTCAAGGTAGAGTAGTGCCTAAAGATTACTTGGTGCAGCTTTCAACGTCTGTGAAATGAAATGATGAATTTTTGAAGAATTTTGAAAACGGAAAAAATGATAATCATGCCGACCCAGCATATCAACACTGAAAAATGCTCCGGCATGAAGTGTTTAAGCAACAAAAGTAACATTTTCATTTTGGGGAGTATTTGAAATGTCAGGGAGGTGTTGCCATGCACCTGAACGAGACAGAATGACATTGTACCGTCCGGTCACAGACTTGTACATGTACGTGTATATTCATATTGTACCATACATACACGTAGATTGGTTGAGGAAGTTAACTAGCGCTTACATGTACATGTATATTGTGCATTGGACCACGCAGGGATCAAATCTTTCGATTGTGGGAGCCTATCTTTCCTGAAAAGGAGATCAAAAAGGTACGTGGATCGGATCTGGATCAGATCCCAATCCACCTGTTAACACTTGTCGTTGATGCCCTTTGTTTCCTCGTAGAATCCAGTTGAGCACGGTTATAAATGTTAAATGTGTGAAAGATCTTTAGTTTAAACATAGGAAATTGGTGTGCCATCTTGCAAAAATATGCTATGGTAAAAAAATCTTCCTCTTCCATTAAAAATGGTCTAGAAACTTTTTAAAAATTCAGCCTTGCAGTAAATGTTCAAATTGTACCAATTTTACATGCCATGCATGTACATGAACATCATACTGTAAATTGCTAAAAGTTAAATTTAACGAGATTGAGCTCGAGTACAAGAAATACAGAAAGAAAACACATACATAGCGGTCATAACATATCATACATGTACATGTAACTGTGAGACCCTTGTGTGAAAAGTAATACTGGTTGGAGTGTACATCTGTTACACCTGCGAAATCCTTAGACAATATTCCTGATGACTTTTGAACAATTTAGATGATTATTGTTATTCATGTATATGTACAGTGTACATGTATTTTTAATTCAGAAATATTTAATCAACTACATTAAATTATTACTATTATTAAATTCAATTTATATATATTTCATAAAAAATGTTCAGGAGTGCTCAACAATATAAAAAAAAACCTATTAGAACAACTATTTACAAAGACCCAAAATAATTAAAATAAACACAATTTAACATTGATTAAAAGTTTAAACCAAACATGGTGGGACTTCCACACGCGGCCAGCACCAGTTCTCCCTCCAACGACCCATCGTGCGTCCAAGATTCAGCCCGAAAATTGGAAGCACTCTCCGAGAGAACACCCAGATTCTCCCAGACAGGTCCAACAAAATTAAAGAGGACAAAATTACAATCAATATTAACAATCACCCAGAGCCTAGAAATTAATAATATGCTTTCTTAAAAAGATATGTTTTTAACATTGATTTAAAAGTAATGACACTGGTAGCACTTCTAATATTACATGGAAGCTTATTCTAGAGATGTGGCGCACAATACTCAAATGCTCGATCTCCGAGGGTAGCCTTAGCCCGACCTAAAGGATAATTGAGGAGGACACCATCACTGGAACTACGAAGATGGTAACGGTTCCAAGACCTTACAGACACAAGCTGAGTTAAGTATTGAGGAGCTAAATCATGTAAGACTTTGTATGTCATCAACAAAATTTTAAATTCAATTCTATATAAAACCGGAAGCCAATGTAAATCAATAAGAAGAGGAGTAATTCGACAAAATGTGTCTTGTAGACGAGTTGTGCACAAGCATTCTGTACCCTCTGGAGCTGATTAATATGAGTACTGGGTAAGCCATAAAACAAACTATTACAGTAATCCAATCTACTTGAGATAAATCAGTGTCTCAGTACATTCCTTGGAGAAGATATTTCCGAATGTGCCTAATATTATGCAGATAATAGAATGCGCCCCCACAAACCTTAGTAATATGAATTTTCATAGACATACAATGTACATGTACATGTGTTGGCGTCAAACCAGGTACCTACATGTAAGTTACAAGCTGTAGCCAAGGGTGAAATGGCAGATTCACAACATGAATACCATCCAAAGTTACCTTGGATATTTGTTGACGAGTGCCAATAATGATATATTCCGTTTTATTGTCATTCAGAAATAATCCATTATTAAACATCCATTGTCTGACATCGTGTTTGCAAGCCTCCATAGCTGACAGGGCAAATTCCTGACTACCAGTTTCATCTGGACAAAATGATAAATACAACTGAATATCATCAGCATAGCCATGGATTCTTGGGTGATGAGCATTGACGATGTCAAACAGCTGACTAGTGTACAAGATAAACAATAAAGGACCTAAACATGACCCTTGAGGAACACCCCATTCAGTATTACGTTTACTACATAGTTTACCATTGACCAAAGCCCTTTGAGATCTACCACTCAAATATGAGTTAAACCAGTTTAGGGCAGTGCCAATAATTCCAAAAGGTGACTGGAGTAAACTCAAAAAAACATCGTGATCTAATGTGTCGAAAGCTGCACTCAAATCTAATAACACCAGAAGTGTAACGTGTTTCCTGTTCATGGCCATCAACAAATCATTTTGAACTTTCAATAAGGCAGTTTCTGTACTGTGAAATTTACGATAAGATGACTGCATAACTGGATATAGATTATTCCGTGTCAGATGAGACTGCAATTGATCAGCAACGGCCCTTTCCAGCAGCTTCGAAATAAACTGTAAATTACACACAGGTCGAAAATTCTCTACTTTGCCCTCAAGTCCAGGTTTTTTTAATAAAGGGAGAACAACAGCCAATTTCCAAGCAGCTGGAAATTCCCCGCTCTTTAGTGAAAGATTAATCAATTTAGTAACAAATGGTAAAAAGGAGTCCAAACAGTCGACAAACAGATTAGTAGGAATCGGGTCAAGAATGCACGTTTTCTTACTGGAGCCAGTCACCAGTTTACGAACACAATTTTGAGATAATTGACCAAAATCAGTAAAAGTGGGTGGCTCTGGGTGTGAAACAAACATATTATAAGTGGGTGAAGGATTAATGCAATTCAATTTCAGCCTAATAGTACTAATTTTCTGGACAAAGAAATCACTCATATGATTCGCAAGTTGTAGAGCATCGGTATGTGGAGGTAAAACAGAAACCCTATTAAGAAAGAGAGAACCACAGGCCCTAAAAAGCCTTTTGGGATCAGTACTATTCTTTTGTATAAAGTTGGTATAGTATTCCCGACAAGCAATCTTCATTAAAAAGTAACATTATTTTTCTTGGATTTAAACATGTTTAGATCGTGCTGTAATCCAGTCAAACGCCATTTCCTCTCAAGTTTCCTTCTTTCACACTTGGCTAATTTGATATTATTATTATACCAGGGTACATGTGGTCGAACAATTAGTGTTTTGGACTTAAGTGGAGCATGACGATCAATAATAATTCCCATGGTATCATCGTACAAATCAACCATACCATTGAGATTCTTTGAATCAATAAGAACGTAATCCTCATAAAATTCAGAATTACAAATGTCATTATTAAACTTTGCCAAGTCGATAGCCTTTAATTTCCTATGACACATCTTTCACAGATAAACAGGACCTTTTCAACTGGATATTGCACAAAACAGGCAAATGATCTGAGAACAATTCACCAGAGATCGGTGTTCCCAATGTAACCGATTCTGATTGAAAAGTAATTATTAAATACACTATGTGACCGTGTATATGAGTAGGAGTGATGACATGCTGTTGTAAACTCATAGATTCCAGTATCTCAGCAAAACGCATGGAATCGTGATTTTGAACCATGTCAACATGAATATTAAAATCTCTAGTAATCACAAGGGGTTCATGAGATAATATAACCGTTTCTAGATAGTCAGAAAACTCATCAATAAATGCATTAACAGTGATTTGGTGATTAGATGAATATGGTGGTCGATAGACAATAACCAGTCTAAGAGACTGCGAACCGGACCTAATCAACCATTCCGAGAATTCGAAGGATTGACGTTCTCCGGCTGCCGTCTTGCTGGCATCCATACCATCACGGAGAAGCAATGCAGTGCCTCCCCCCATCCGGCTGGTTCTTGGGTGATCTAGCAGCTTGAATCCCTAGGGTTGCCTCCAGTCTGCAAGCATCATCAACATCCCTGAACCACGTTTCTGTCAGGGCAAAAATGTCTTCTCCAGAACTACAGTACATACATAATCAAGAAAGTCCACCGATTTATTCCTAAGAGATTGAGTATTAAGGATGCAGAGTCTCACAGTGTGATCCTCTCCACGATTTACAGACAATTGATAGTGAGGAATGTGCGTCACTGGTGTTAAGGTGCGATTGATTGATCACCAATAGTTACCACGAAAGGGTCAAGAGAGCTGGTCGATCAAAACAGGAATGTCTTGTGGTTTGTCACCGACAAAAACCGAAACTGGAATCAGTGTACGATTGATGTCATGCCTTGATTGATACCTCTCTGGGAAACGATGGCGCGGAAAATTGTCAACAGTGACAGAAATTTTCCGACGGTGTCCACCACGACTTCCACGTCGGCGAGGAATACCCGTAGCTCGAAGCAGATGAACAATACTACGGTCCAAGGGTGGACTCCGTTGTCGAAAACTAAGTAACGGGGTACGTGAATATGTAACTCTATCCGATGTACCGGGTAGATGAGAGTCCGATGAGCAGTCATCCGTGAAAGCTGGTGTGTTCCTCACCAGATTTTTGGACGGGCCTGGATTAATTGAAATGTCCATGTAGATGGTCAAGTCGATGAACGGATCATGGCTGGCCACAACAAGACACAGGAGACCATGTTTACCCCAGACAACAACAGGTCTTTTGACTGACCGGACATTAATCACAGTAGAGGAAAATGTACCACGCTGGTGAAGTGGGCACTCAGTTGCAACCATGAAACTGTGATGCACAATTACAGACGATGATTCAGGCAGTCCAAATGAAAAGGTGGTGCAATGCACAAGGCCTAGGCCTACATGGCCTAGTAGTAGAAGTAGTAATAACAGAAGTCCAAAAATAGATGTCATTTCTCCAATGGGTAGGGTGCCACCCCAAATCACAGCAACAAAATTCAGTATTACAAGTTTCAGTCAACCACAGTTAATAAAATAGCAAGCTATACATACACACACAGGTCGACGATAAAAACAGCAGAAGATTCCCTGACGGTAGGTAGTTGATGGTAAAACGATGTGGATAAAAAACAACGATTAAAATCAAGAAAATCATTATGAGATGTAGGGCCAGTGTACATGTACATGTATGTACTGCACTGTATAAATTTCTCTACATTGTTCTTTAATGACCGATGTAGTTTTTTCGTTGTAGGCATATTCCTGATGGGTAACCTGCTGTGTACATGTATGTACTGTACATGAATGTGTATTCATCATGTCTGATGAACTGATATGGAGGTGCAACAAACCCAACATCGTGATGCATTTGCGGGCAAGAGAGGCAGACTTGGGAAAATCCCCTGCATATAGACGCAATTGTCGCATGTGGAGAACTCTGATTTGTGATGTAAGTATACAAAATGCTTAATGTGTGGAAAAATATGAATACTAACTGACTACTTATTGATGTAGTGTATTGGGTCATACGGTTGATGAAGATTGTAGGACATAGGAAATATTCATTTCCTCTCAAGCCCCAGTTTTAAGGAAGGCCTGTTTTACCTCTGTACATGTACATGTTTGTCTTATTTGTTGGGTAATAGGGCAGAACGAAGAGAAGCGGGATCTCTTTCTTTGATTTAATTCACCTGACTGGGTTCACGTGAGTCTCACCTTGTTGATGAAGGAGGGCTAAATCTTCTTGGTTTATCCTTGTTCAATTCAACTTTCTCCTCAAAATTTATTGAGTTTTGCATACAGTTATATTGTGCTACAGGTTTCTTCATCTGCAAAATACATGCACTGACTTAGGGTGGGCTGAATCCAAAACGATATACTGAAATGTACATGTATCAGTGTTTAGAAGATACATGTACATGTACATGTACTTGAGTATCCAGTTTCTCTTCTATTTTGAACCGTTCACCTTAGTAGATGACAAGATCAAAGAAGTGACCTGGTTGTTTGGGATCAAATATTATTAAGACATTTCCATACATGTACATGTATGTGATGTAACTCACAATTGCATTTACACAGGGTGAACTTACGTCACATGCATGTATTTGGGACTGCATTTGCTTTCCATTGCCACACCTACATGTATTTTCTGTCTGAAAAAGTTGCCACTGAACTCAACTTTGTTCTAACAGGCAGCGTGTGTGGTCTCTTGTTGGTTTGGGGATTGTATACAGTCTGCTGTTGACTTTTTTGGTTGCATTGTAAACTGACTCAATAACTTCATCTTATGAATTAGAGTTTAAAGAATTTCACTCCATCTTGATCATGTTGATGGATTAAGCCACAAATACATGTACATGTATACAGCAAACAAGCCAGTTATCAGTTCAAGAGCACTCTCCACCCAGCCACCTTCGTCAGTCCTTTGAATATTATTAAACAATTTGAGTCTGCCCTATTTCTCAATCAAAGACAATAAATATAAGGAGAACGGGCTTCTCCAGACTGCATCCACCATGCATCACACTGTCTGGTGATTTTATGAGAATAAGCACTGAATGTTTCAAATTCAAACAAATCTATATCTTCCCCATCTTGTTTGCCTTTTTTCCCTACACTTTTCCCAGTCCTGTGGGACAGAGTATTCATCGTGGTATCAGATGCCATGACCTGTTTTTTCTCCACGTGCACATCAACTTCTCACATTCCCAAAGGCACATAAACTGCAAGCATGCCATAGAAATGATATCACATTCTCCATACTCTCATTTAGACCTCACTCAGCAAACATTAATTGAACTGGAAATAAGAATACAGAATCTGCTTGAGCATGGGTTGGAGATTGAATAAAAGCCCCCCCCAAAAAAAATCATTAAATGCAAACGGCCAAGGAGAGGTCTATCTGATCCTGTTAAATTAATAAGAAGTAAAAAATCAGGTTAAGATGATCTCCATTGAGCTAAAAGCAAAAAAAGTTTGTCGCTATGTCATAAAACCTTTCAGAACAGATAAGACTACATGTACATGTATACATGTACATGTACATGAGGGGATACGAAAGTTATCAGGTCCACATTATGAAGAGATTGACAGGGATTTATTATTATTATTATTAATGTTGGTTTATTTAATCCAAATTGCCAATAGCAGCCCGAGGGTTGAATTGCAGGGCAGTTATACAACAGAATTTTAAAAGGGCTAAGTAGACAAAAAAGATAAAACAGCATACACAGATAAGCTTAACTTTCAATTTACATAATAATATTAAAGCGGTAAAAACACCTAAAGGTATTTGTATGGTGGAATTTACATAACAAAAACTACACGTTTGTTAAAAATGACAGGGGTTACTAGACAATACATTACATAGGAGACAGATGACGGGAGTTAAAAAGATGGATTTATCAATTTTATGAAATAAGGGAGTGGGCTGTTGCTGAAGTGTTAAGTTTTGCAGGTGAATTCTTGAAGAATTCTATTTGATCTGAGGTGCATCCAGTGATTACTGAGGGATTTATTAAACCATGCATTAAATCTATCAGAATTAAAAGTATTAAGAGCAAATTAGTACAACGATCAGTTCTTCTGCTAACGAGTGTTTCAAGTCGGAGGACATTTAAGGCGTGGTCATAAGTTACAAGTGTACAATCAGTCAAGTATGATGTGATGTCCACACCCTTTTCTGGATTGATTCTAAGTTAACAGAACATGTAATTCCAGAGTGCCGCAAGGGAGGTAAGTATTCTAAAACAGGTCTGATGTATTCTTGTATACAATAACGAGGTCAGCACGAGTTAGGCTGCACTTTTTTCATTTCATTAATATGAAGAGCTTTCTATTGGCTTTGCTAGTGATGTCGGTTACATGTAGGTGACTACATGTATCTCATTTTAGGTTATGCTGTAGTGTACACGTAACACCCAATAGCTTCACACTCTGAACTTGATCAAGAAGAACGCCAGCTGTATAAAACTGTGTGTTAGGGAGTTCCGGTCTACCATAGTACATGTAAATCGGCATGAAGTGACATTTGTATGGGTTATTCAGATTGTTACTCAGTCGTCCACATACTTCCAGCATATATGTTGGGCATCATTTGCTGCATTGTTAATGTAGGCTAAAAAAATCAGTGGACCAAGCTTTGTACTTTGGGGAATGCCACCAGTCAGTACTTGCCACTCAGAAAGGGTTTGTTTGTACTTAACTCTTTGTTCATGCTGAGATAAGAAAATGAACAATCTACATGTACTTCACAATGGACGGAGAAACGTCCAAGTCTAAAAGAGTTTTCACTTTCGTGGTTCACCATGTCAAATGCTTTAGTGAAATTTGTAAGCACATACATGTGCTTGTTTTACATACAAAGTGTGGTCATTCCTTTGTTCTCCTGTGGTTAAGGAAACTTGAGGGAAATGCTGCTTTTTCTCCAACTGGGATAACTCTTTCCAGCTGGGTTTTTAATGATGATTTCCTGGACTGTTCCTCTTCATTTTGCCACAAATAACCTTGACCCCTAAATGCCTCCGAAACTGTTTTTCAGAGAGGGGAAAACATTGTGTGGATGTGTGAGTCCACACAATGACATCTCACCCTACATTATGTGGACTTCTTTTGTGCAGAGGTCCACACTATGTATGCCACGCCTGCACAAGGGTGCATACAAAACTAGGAATATTAGCACCGGAAACTGACTGGTGTTAAACGTCAACAAGACAATGGGTGGTGGAGATACTTTGTTGATATCCAAATTACCTGTTATCTATTTTGGGCCCAATAGAATCCATATTTCAATGTTGTTCAATGTCAATGTTATTCACAGTTAACTCCTTCAAACTTCCAACTCTGTTATTTCCAAAGTAAAATCTTAATTATTTCAATTCATATACACATAGAATTATTTACGCACTTTCCTTAATTTAAGTTTAATCTTCATGGTGAAGTTCCAGCTGATAGAACTCAGTTAGCATTGGACACACTCAGTTCAGCTGGACTACATGTGGCCATTGTACAAATAGTCAAGAACCATGGGTTTCCGGCTATGTGCATGTACAGTGTAAAACAATTACTGAAACTCATCCAGCTATTTGCTCCAACCATGCAATATATTCACAGATTCTTAATATATCAAGAATAAGTTGGGTGTGGTATCATTCATACATAATTTTATTTCAAGCACCTACACTTAAATTCATTTGTTGACAAGAAAATGATCGAAATCAAAGGGCATAAATAAACACGCAAATTTTCAGGAGACGAAAAATCATGGAAAACACAGAACTTATGGTTATTTCTTCATCTTAAATGTTGAAAGGCAGAGTGTTGCTATATGGATGGTCTATAGGACAAATAAGGCAGTTTTTTGCATTGCCAAGAGATTTTGGCACTGAATTAGCCAAACTGGCATATCAGGCCAAATTGGTAGAAGCTTACACTGATTTGCTTACAAAACCTGCTGCATCAGGCATCTGTAGGCAATTTGACACTGGTATCTGTCACACTCTGCTTCATTCTCATATACTCCAAATTTTGATTTGTCTTCCTTGTCGATCAAAAAACGTTCTGATTAGTAAATGCACACACAACCCTTTTGACTTCTGTCCACATTCTTTCACTCATGTTCATATTGATAGTAATAAATAGACATCAATAACCATGGCCACTCAGACAGATTTAGATGATTTGATGCATGGCGTCCAGGCAGGTTGAATGCAACCTATTTTGAATGGCTGAAAAGAAAACTACTGGGAAATTACGAGTACTTAATTGGTCTAAAACTATTTGCATAATTCATTTGTATCTTAGGGATGGTATCATAGTGGTAGCGCATAATAAAAAGGCCTGAAATGGAACAAAATGAATGGGGGGGAGGGGAGAAGGATACTTGTGACACCGGATATGACTTTTGAAACTCCTCCTCTCTTGGGAACATTAAAGTAATGGGCCAGGGGGAGGGGGGAAGACGTGTTGAAAAGCATTACCCACCAACTATCACTAAAAAATTACTGATTGCTGTGCTGTTCATGAAGCTGTGTAACATCGTTTTGAAAGAAAATGAGGAGTGGCCGTCTATGAGAGCAAATCTCATTTCCCTCGCTAGAATAATCCTGAAAATGTTTTAAAGAAAAATTAACACCAGCCGATTATTCTTTGAACTTTGCTTGCACAGACCGGTTCTTCCATGTTGTTTTCTTAGCCATGGAAACACTCATTTTTAAGAACACAGACTGTGAAAAAAAACGAAATTCATGGTGTTGACCAAACTCCACTCCACTCAACGTGCTGGAGTGACAGGAATGATTATTTCCCTTCCCTATAAACTTAGCTCAAAAGAGTAATATGATAGTGGGAGAAGAGAAATACATGTTCAGATTTCAGAAAATAGATGTTAGAAAATAGATAGTCTTGAAACTATGCAAAAAGGAAGGATTTTAATATGAAGTAAACGTCTCAAATTCAAGAATTTGATATAAGGGTCATTTGTTTGAAATTTCAACCGTAGAATGTGATTCTAGGTCAAACATTTTCAAATCAGTGTTTTACACCTGAGTGCTCTAGTACATGTACATGTGAACAAAGGAATGTCTCCACAAGGATAAATTTTGAATATGTGTGCTTGTTTTATTTGCTTTTTTTCATTTATTATTTTTTGGACATTGGTTTGAGACTGTAGCATTTAGTTTGAGCATTCACTGAAATCTGGTGTTCTTGGTTCGTGTATGATACAACACCGGTATACTGGTATTTTTTTTGGTGATTTTATTTTTGACAGAAAAGTTCAGTTTATAAGAAGACTTGGAGTTTGACATCAAAAAATAAGATACACTACTTGGGGTAAGTGTCTATTGAAGATAAGTTATCAATATTCAAGCAAATAGTATGATAACTATCATGTCTTGTTAGTTAGTAATCAATTATGAGGGAAGACTGTTAATCAGGGTCTTTATTGATTATCATCTTGAGCCTGTATTGCTACCGGTACATTGAGACTGTTAAGCAGGAAAGCTATTAAAGAACTGTGGGGCAGCAGGTCTATGAATCACAGTAATTTTATTGCTTTTGCTGTCCCTGGCCCATCCGGGAGTACTGTTTTGTTTTGTACTGTACCAATTTTTCTGTGTTATCCTGTCATGTCTACTGTTTTGGTCAAATACTACTAATAATAATAACTAAAGGTATTATGACCAGTTTCCTTGTTTTTTTTCCAAATATGCACATGTATTAATAGAGATCGGTTGTACATGGACGACTTCCGGACATGTTACAGTTTGTAAGTATGAATCTTAAATTTGTGACTTGTATCACTATTAAATCCGGTCATTGAATACGTATACGTTCTGAAATTTCTGCAGTCTTGCCATTTTTTGTTCCGTCATTTTTGGTAAACTTACATGGATTTACATGCACGTATCCTCGGAAAGCTTATTTTTTTGTCATTTCATATACATTCAGTCGTGTCTGTCAGGCTGTAATTTCAAAGTCATCTTATTGTGTTAATGAAAGATTCTCGGAATCGGCCGGAGCAAGCACATTCTCGTAAATATTGTATAGTCTCAAAATGCCCATACAATA